CTTGTGTGCCCCCCAACCCCTAGGGCCGCGCCAGCGAGAGCGCCGCGTCCGTGAACCAGGGGGCCCTCGTGCTGAGCCTGCTCAAGGGGGAGGCATACAACCTGGAGGATGCATACGCTGTCACTAAGCTGCAGCTGGAGGAGGAAGCCGAAAAGGCGGCGGCGGCAGCTGCAGCGGCGGCCGCCGCTTCGGCCGGCGATGGCGCTGACGGGGCCAGCAAGCCTGCGGTGCCGGGCGCCGATCAGCTGGCGGCAGGCGGGGCGGCGGGCGGGGCGGAGGCGCAGGCGGGTGGGGCCGGCGTGGAGAAGCTGAGCCGGCGCGCCAAGGCGGCGAGGGACAAGGCGGTTGCGGCGGTCAAAGCCAAGCGGCGGGAGCTAGAGGAGAGCCGGGTCGACCCGCAGGTGGGGCACGGCTTGGGGCCACGGCGTCGTGCCGTGCTGAGGGGCCTGCGCCTTCACAGAGGATGGGACCTGCGATGGAGGCTGCCTATGCCGATTTGCATGCACTAAAGCTTGTTACAACACACACACACACACACACACACACACACGCACACACACATCCGCACACGCACACACACACGCGTGCGCGCACGTGACACATCGCACTTTGACGACCAGCAGCTACAGCCCCCTCCCCCCTCCAACCCCACGCAACGCACCACCGCGACCCTCCTGCCCTACAGATCCCGCTGCTGCCCTTCTCTGACGCCATGCGCCGCGAAGTCTTCGAGAGCATTGAGAACCGCGCGGACGTGTCGCCCTCGGAGCCGCCCTCCTGCTGCTTCTTCACCCTCACCAACTCGCGGCAGAGCTGCTGCTCGCTCGCGTTTGACCCCTGGACCAGGCACGCGGCGGCCGGGTTTGCGGACTCGTCCATCCGGCTGTTCAACCTGCAGGTGGGCCTCCTGCCACCGGCACCGCCGCTGTCGGCCTGCTGGGCAGGAGGGCTGTATGCTGTTGCTGCCTTGTGATGGGTTACCTTGCAGCGCGAGGCTGGTGTATCTAGGCAAGCCTGCCTGGATCTAGGCTGTTTCCCAGCCGCATGAAGCGCCGCAAATGTGATGCCGCCTGCCGGCACCCGCCTCGCCGCCTCTCCCGGACCTGGCGCGCTGCGCACAGTCCCTGGGTAGGGCGCGCACCCTTCAGGCAAAGCAGCTGCAGCGGCGCTCCGACGCGCGGCGGCAGCGGCGGCAGCAGCAGCAGCCGCAGCAGGGAGGGGAGGACGGGTGGTACGACGCTGACGAGGACCCGGCGGACGAGCAGGAGGAGTTGGAGGTGCGGGGGCCATGCGGGGCAGCGGGCGGGCCCTGTCAGACCGCTGGCGGAGCGCCTGGCTGGGTGGCCATTGTCTCCGAGGCCTCTGCTGCAGGGCTGTGCGTGGCGACGTGGTTGCTTCGCGCCCTTCTTCAGTGAGGGTGCACTGAATGGCTCCAGAAGCCACCAACAACAGACGCTCCGCCTGTCGACGCTTTCCCCAGCGCAGCTACACCGACACATTTGTTGCGTGCCTTCAGGCCCCTGTCCCCATGTCCTTTGCCCATCTAGCTTGCGTTGTGTGAACGCACCCACAGGCCCACTTTTATAATGCGTCTCTCAATTTCGAAATTTACCAGCAAAACTTGCACTGCTCACAGATCCTCACCCCGCATCACTCTCAATGTGACTCGTCAACATTACTCAACGGCCCCCCCACGACCCCTCACCCCCAGGAGGAGCTCGCTGACCTGGCGGACCGCGCCGCCACCCACCTGTACGGCCACACCGCAGCCGTCCATGACCTGGACTTCACCGCAGACGGCCAGCTGCTGCTCTCGGCGGCCGGCGACGGCGCCGTTCGCGTGTGGAGCCCCGAGCTGCGGCGCTGCCTCGCAGCGTACCGCGGGCACGTGCTGCCGGTGTGGGCGGTGGCGGCTTGCCCCAACGGCGGTTACTTTGTGAGCGGCGGCGCGGACAGGACGGCGCGGATCTGGGCGACAGAGGTTGCCGCGCGGCCGCTGAGGGTGCTTGCAGGTGGGGGCATGCGTGCGTTGTGGGTGGCGCAGAGAGCCAAATTTTCTTTTGGGTGGGGGGTGTGGACACTGCCGCTATGGCTGTGCAGACAGGGAAATCAGGTGGCTTGTCAGGCAGAGTTTGCCCAGTCCTCTTGTGCCAGCTTGCGATGCGCAGCGCCCCAATGGGTACGCTGGGGAGGGTGGGCTGCTTGTCAGCAATGCTACGCCCTCATCAGAACCGCACTCCCGAACCACCCCTCGCCGCCAGGCCACGCGTCGGACGTGGATGTCGTGGGGTGGCACCCCAACAGCCACTATGTCGCGACCGGCGGCGCCGACCGCAGCGTGAGGCTGTGGGACGTCCGCCGCGGCCGCGCGGCGCGCGTCATCGGCGGCGTCGGCGGCGGCGGCGGCGTGACGGCCCTTGCGTTCGCGCCGGACGGGCGCCACCTGGCAGCGGCGGCGGAGGACGGCAGCATCGGCGTCTACGACATTGCCTCGGCAAAGTGAGGCCGCCGCCTCTCTGGCTCGGCACGCAGATAGCACGCGGCCGGCGGAACTAGAGCTCCCTGGGTTGAGACGAGCAGCGCGTGCGGGCTGGCTCCCGTACTCTGCCAGCCGGCATCATCTTGATCGGCCCGCTCACCGCTTCCAAAACACAGCACCTGCTGGCCCTGCTCCTCCCCCCCCCCCCACATTTACTGACACACACATTTACACAAAATCACAAACATGCCCACGTACACACGCACAATAACACAATCACACACACACGCCCACCCCGTGATGCACAGGCGCGTGGCCCTGCTGGAAGGCCACGAGGGCCCCGTCTGGTCGCTGTCATACAGCCGCGGCGCTGGCTCCGTCCTGGCCTCTGGCGGCGCCGACCTGACCCTGCGGCTGTGGAGCGCCCCCGCCGCAGACAATTCGATGGTGGCGCTCGTAGCGGGGGCGAAGGCTGCGGCGATGGTGGGCTCTGCTGGTGCTCCTGGCGGCGCGCGCCTGTCGGAGGACGGCACGGCGGCCGGCGGCGGCGGCGGCGGCGGCGGCGGCGGTCAGCAAGCGCAGCTCGGTGGGGGAGGCGGGCAGGGGGGGCAGCGGCCGTACCAGCAGCTGCGCGTGTGGCGCACGCGCGCGACGCCAGTGGCGCACGTGGCGTTCAGCCCGCGCAACCTGCTGCTTGCCGGGGGTGCGTGGGCGCTGCGGCCGCTGCGCAAGTAGGGTGGCGCCTTTTGGGCGCTTATGCATTGGACGTGTGGGCCAACTTGCGGGAGGCCCTGTTTGCAGGCGACTCGCCTGATCTTGATCGGGCCTAGGCCATGTTGACTTGCAGCATCGGTCGACTGCTGTGCTGCACTTCAGGGTGCTGATCAGTCGCCTGTAGCAGCGCTGTAAAAGATTTTCTGCGTCAAAATGTGTGGGGCTCCTGGGTGAGGCGTGTCCGTCTGGTGGCTGGTCGACTGCGCCTGCGCTGACAGCCCCTGCGTGTCAGGTGTGACGGCACGCCGGGGACACCTGCTCATCCGGCACTAGCCATCTGTGATAGCAGCCAGGACCAGCCAGGTAGGTTTTTGATGTCAAAGTTGGCACGGCCTGCGCTGTATGAGCTCCTTTAATGAAACAAACTGTGCCATGACCAGGCGAAGTGGCGGCGAGTGGCGCACTCATGGCAGTGACGCCAGTGCCGACGACGATGACGACCACTGCATCGAGGCGATCCGATTGCTCTGTACTTTCGCCCACACCCATAGCTCATCTGTGTGTCCATTTGAACAGCAGGATGCTGCTGCGGGCTGCGATCCCTGCTTTGCGCGCACTTCCAGCCCTGCAGGCTGGAGTGCCAGCCCTGCTGCAGGCGCGGCATGTGGCATGGGCTGCTAATATCACGTGAGTTAATTTGGTGTTGATCTTGGACGACGGGGCGTTTCAGATCATGTTGACGATTTTCGCTCCCTCGCGCAGCAACTCCGGGAATCGGCAAAGCCAAGGCGCGTCAGGATTTGCAGCTGCAGCTTTTACATTTGCCGCAGCCGCCGCGTTCACAAGCTCGTCGTCCTTGGGGCAGGCGCAGGCCGACGCTTCGGTCCCAGTGGTGAGGTGGTTGTGTGGCAGTCGCTTGTGGCGCGCCTTCCAAACGCATACGGCCTGATCGCAAGCGCCTACCTTGGCATATTTGCGAGCCACCAACCTCCTGGCCCCGCGCCGCCGACGCCGCGCAAGCAGGCGCCCTCGCAGCCGCCTGCTGACCCGTACGCACGGCCTACGGCCAGCGGGCGGCTGCCACGTGACATTGTGCTGTACCAGTATGAGGTGTGCCCCTTTTGCTGCAAGGTCAAGGCCATGCTAGACTATTACAAGGTGAATGCTGTTGGGTGCTGCAGAGAGGAGACAGGGGTTGACCAGTGCGTGCCTAGAGAGCTGGATCATGACGCGCCGGGTCAGCTCTGCCGGACCAAGGCTGTAGGTGCTTTTCAGCAACCCTCGGCAAGCACTGGCGCGGTGGCGGCTCAAGCCGCGCGCACCCCATGTCCACGCACGCGCCCGGTCGCGCCTGACCTCGCGCCCCGGCCCGCGCACCGGCTCGCGCGGTCGACGCGCGTGCAGCTGCCCTACGAGACCGTGGAGGTCAACCCTTTGACCAAGGCGGAGCTCAAGTGGTCCACCTACCGCAAGGTGCCGGTCATCAAGATGGACGCCGGCCAGCGGGTGGCCATGGACAGCAGCGCCATCATGAGCGAGCTCGCGGCGGAGCTGGAGGCGGCGGGGCGCGCCAAGGCGCCCGCCGCGGCGGCGCCTGCGACTGCCAAGCAGAGCGGCTGGTGAGGCGGCCTGCTGGGAGGGTCTCGGGCGCCATTGCAGGGGCGCTTCTGCATGCTTGAGGACGCGTGTCGGGACAGGCGCAGCTGAGGTTTGGCTGTGGCCTGCTGCCCCGCAGGTTGCGCCGCGGCGGCAGCGGCGGCGGCGAGACGAGCAGCGGCGGCCAGAGCGCGGAGGAGGAGGCGCAGTGGCGGCGCTGGGTGGACGAGCGGTTTGTGCGGCTGCTGACCGCCAACATCTACCGCTCATGGGAGTGAGCTTCTGGGGCCCTGGGCTTGGGAGAGCTTTGGGGAGGCGCAGCAGTACGCCGGGGAGGGCAGGTGCTTGCCAGCGGCGGATGTTGAGTGGTAGCGGCAGGGCCCTGTTGCTGCCGCGGCTTGGCACCATCCGCTGCTCAATTGCGTACACTCTTGTCCTGCAAGCCGCGTGGACACCTCCGGCGCCCACATGACGTCATTGCGCTCTCCCCTCCCTGCGGGCTGGTCGCACCCATGCACCCTGCTACTCTACGCTACACACACACACACACACGCACACACACTCACACACACACACACACACCGCACACCGCAGTGAGACGTGGGACACGTTCAGCTACATCGCGGGCCAGTCCCACTGGAACTGGGCCAGCCAGCAGGCGGTGCGGCTGGGGGGGTCCCTCATCATGTGGCGCGTCGGCAAGGGCATGCCCAAGAAGTACGGCATCGACGGTGGGCGCTGGCACGGGTTTGGCAGCTGCTCATGCCCTGGCCGCAGCTTGGGGCCTGTTGCGGAACACACGGCGCGACCGTGTGGGTCGAGCATCCTGTTTTGCGTCGCGTGCAGCATTACCGCGGCACGGGCCGCCTCGCGTGCCCTCCCGCCACCCTGCATGCGAGCAAACGCGGGTCCGCGCCAACCGCGCGCCTTCTGCGCCGCCCCGCGCGCCAGGCGACCTTCGCGATGCGTTGTATCGTGAGGTGGACAAGTTTGTGGCGGCCCTGGGTGGCCGCGACTTCCTGGGGGGCTCAGCCCCAAATCTCGCTGACCTGTCAGCGTACGGCGTGCTGCGGGCGGTGCAGGGGACGCCGACGTACAACGATGTGGTGGCCTACACCAAGGTGCGCACATGGCTGGATCAAGGGGGTTGCGGGGGCGTGTGTGCGCATTGAGAGCGCCGCAGGTGTCGGAGTGGGGCAGCGTGCAGCTGTGCCAGGGGGGGCTGTCGTTGCTTTGTGGGGGTCGGCGGGCAAGGCGTATGGCGTTGCCAGCTGATGGGTAGGGAGGGGCAGAGAGCAGCCTGGGGTGGTGGGCTTCGGTGTGCAGGGGTGTGGGTGTGTTGTATGCTCGTGGATGGCGCGCTCGGTCAACTGCGTTCCTGGCACCGGCCCCTGACACCGCACCGCCTGCTACAGATTGGCGACTGGCTCGCACGCATGACCGTGGCGGTTGGCAGCAGCGCTGAGGTAAAGGCCACGGGCGACAAGTGATGAGCGGCGGCAGTTGGAGGCGCGTGTCATCAGCGATGCAAGGGGGGAGGCAGAGTGGGTTTGGCAAGCGCGGCTGCTGGGTGGCTGGTTTGCAGCGGGGATAGCCCTGTCTGCTGGTCTTTTCGTGATCGGGGAGTTGTCCCATGGTCCAGCTGCGTTGCCACCTTTGTTGGTCGCATGGCTTCCTTGCTCTGTGTCAAATGGTTTGACTGCAGCACAGCGCTTGCATGCGGCAATGGGCGTCTGCTGCTTTGGCTGTGACACTCATGATCCGTTTGTTTTGATTGACCCTGGTGCCGCAATTGATTTTTGCCTGCATGTGTAAGGGCCATTGGGATGGCTTGGATTGTGAAGCGTTCATCCGGCTCTGCCATGGGGAGACTGTGTGGGAACCTGGGTACACTAAGGGCAGCAGGCTTGGATCCCGAACCGCTCCTTGACTAAATCACCAGCGCGCCACACTGAAGCATGTGTGTTGTAGACCGCGCCGAGAAGGCATCGTGCAGCGCACACATGCCTCCTTGCTTGGGTCATGCGTGTGCTGTTGTGGCAGCCAGCACCTGGGGGTGGGGTGTGCTGCGTTACTGGGACCGTGGTGGGCCTGAACCACGCGGCAGGATTGCTGCTGGCCTCCTCGGCCCGTTTCTTGCCTGCCCTCTTTTGTTGTCTCCGAATGTCGTGGTTGAGTTGCGGCATGCACTTTTGCCTGCTTCTGCTGCCTCTTCATGCATTCTTTTGTTGTTGCCGTTGGCCCTCTTGTGTGCCTGGACACTTGGCAACTCATGCCTGTTTGCCCCTCCAGGACGATGAGTGCGGTAATTTCATCAACACAAACTGCACATATTTGTAACTTTTGTTAGTAAAGCAGGCGCCATTGGGACCTGGCGCATTCCCGCATGATGCCACAGGGCTTTAGGAGTTTGCACTGGAGTCACTGTGCGGCGCCTTGGGAGTGCTTCCGCTGCGCAGGACAAGCGTCCACTCCAACAGCCCAACCGCCGCCAAGCTCGCGCCTGCGCGCTGTGAGCGCCGGCCATCCAGGAAGCTGCAGGTTTGCGAGCCGCTGAGCCCAGGACCAAAGAGTGCAGGATTTGTTGCAGCGCCCCACTGTCGCCTGCTTGTGGAGCCGCCCAGCAGGGGTTGAGCATAATGTAGAGAGGCAGCCCCTTGCAGTGCATGTCAGCGATGGCCCCCGCGAGTGACGCCTGCCTGTGCCAGGACATTTGCTTGCCGTCATCATGTTGGCGTCACCACAGGCAGGGGCAGCGCAGCAGGGGGCCCCACCGCTGCAAGGCTGGCGCGTTGGCTCTATCTGCTGACGAGGCGTGAGCATTGCGCGGGAGTCCTGCAGGCAGGTGGCCTGCAGAGTCCGAACGCGCCCTTGTTGAGGACATGGCGAAAATTGGAACAGAATGTAATCGTCCAAAACGATCAGCCTTCACCAACACCCAACCACCTTCGGAAAACAAACCCGCCCGGACTCAGCCACCATGCCCGTCTCCAAACACGCCAGCGCCACCATGAGGCGCGACAAGAACGCCTCAAAGAGCTGCCAGAAGCAGGTAAGGCGGTCGGGCGCCTGCCAGAGCGCCTTGAGCGCTGTGGCTGCTCCACTGGACTGCCCCGCCTGCGCCCGCCATCCGCCCGCCACCTTCCGGCAGCTCTCAACTCATGGACCCCCCCCCCCACCGCGCACCACCACCCCGCCCTAAACACTCCTCCAGCATGATCATGGACAGAGCATCCGCCACAGAGCGGCAGCGGGCGTCGGCGCGGCCGCGGCTGCAGAGAGGCGCCGCGCAGACGCCCTTGCGCGCGCTGCCGCGCCGACGTCTGCAGAGGAGGCGG